GGTAGTCGTTTCCCTCTTCTTCAAAGGTCACCGCCATTCCTCGAACTAATGGCCCTTTGGATCCAGTTGGGATCGAGTTCGATCCACTAGGAATCGGTGAGCTATGCGGGTTTGGGGATCCCCTAATGTTGTTTCTCGTATTTCCTCCATTTGGACAGTTGTTGGCGTAATGTTCTGGACTTCTACATTTGAGACAACGTCGGTTCTCCCTCCTCCAAGTCATTTCGTTCTCGCTGAGACGTCCTCCGTCCTCTGTCCAAGTGACCGGAGGGTCATTTGGTAGACCATAATTCATCATCCCTGGTTTTCCACCGGGCAAGGGTCCTCTACCAGTCGATTGTGAGTGGCGCTCTACCGGGTTGGGCAAACTAGTATCCAATCGCATCGAATTCGATCGAGGGGGAAGCCAGGTCGTCTCATGTTTGCGTCTAGCAGCCCATCGATTCGCTGCAATCATCGTTTCAGCCATCCGTTGGTTCTCCTCAGTCCCTATCACATGCTGTTTGAAATAGATCCAGTCCGATTTGGTTCGAGGGTCGGTGTTATTTACCACTACCACCTTCAGTAGCTCTTCCTTCAGGCCCTGTATGGCTGAGGCGATTTTCATTGCATCTGGTACCTTTCCAAGGTGTGTGGACCAAAGTTCAAAGTTGGCAAAATACTCGGCGGCCGTATCCGTCTGTCTTAACTCCTGCAATTTCCTCATAGCCGTACCTGCCATGTTACTGTCTCCAAATTGAGTTCGTAAATGCTGGATGAATTTGTCGTAGCTCTCTAGCCATTCGGTCGAATTCCATATACTTGGATTGGTTATGGCCGGGGTTATAAGCATTTGAGGGGTGCCTCGAAGATACCCGTACATGAACAGGATCTTTCTGCGATCGGTGGCGTACTCTGCCCCTTTGAATTCGAAGTTCATGTGACATGCTGCAAGGAAGTTGTCCAATTCTCCTCGTTCTCCACTGAAGGTAGGTGGATCCGCACACCTGGTTCTTCCTGTTCGTTCGTTGTTGGTAAGTTTTGGCTCCAAACACGGCTTGTTTTCTTCGACTTCGATCAAACTTGCCCCTTTCGATGTGAGTATCTGTTGGTTCTGTCGGTCAGCTTTCATCGTAGCCAGTTCTTCCCTTAATGCATTTTGTTCTTTTTGTTGCATCGTCATAATGGCTAACAATTGTGACAACTGCTGCGATAATTCATTTAGCGGATCTGGGGTAGTGGTAGTAGAAGTGAGATCATGTGAAATGGTACTTCTCGAAGAACTTGTTGGTATTTCTTCCTCTGGGACCAGCCCTTGTTCCAACTCCTCTTTTTCTGGTATCATTTTCCGCGCTTTCCCTCTGGTGAGCATACAGTACTCTCCGATTCGACCCAAGGTGCGTAAGGCTGATTCTTCAACTTGTACCGGTACTGGAAACACGACGACTAGGTCGCAGGTTGGGTCGAACTCGATGGAGGTCTCGTGGAAATCTAGGGGCTCTGGTGCTAATGGATCGTGTCTCCTCTGCAATCGATGTAGCCAAAGAATGATATTGAAGAATCAGCAAAGTTGGTACTTTGCTGATTGTACTATATACTGTCTACAGGTATCCGTCTCCTCTTCTCAGTCCTACTGCAAGCGTCCATGTACATACTCGGACAGGTGAAAAACCGCTTTGAGCAAACCCAGTGGGGAAAATCTCGAAAGGGGAAAACCCGTCCCTACCTACTGCAGCACTGCCTCCAACTCCCGCTTTCCTCTGTCCTAATCCGTCGAACTCGATAGAGTTCCCTCGATTCGTTGTTACCCCGTAACACCCTTCCACCATCCCTCCCTCCCCTCAAACTCGAACATGATGAATCTATCATCTTGATACCCGAAACCCAGCAAACACCTTCGCCTCTTCCCTCTCCTACACCTCTCAGAGAGTTCAGCTCTGATCCAGAGGATCTCTTGACCCCTCGGCCCTCAAATCATACGCGAAATCCATCTCTTGACTCTGCATTTCTCTCGCCGGACATCGAAGCAGAGACACCAGAGGATTTTGAAGAAGACGAATTCGGTCCACATGAACGAGTCAAAGATCTGTCTCATGAACCACTACACCTTCCCCCACAGACTTCTATCAATTCTGCTCGTGATAAACTCGCCTCTATTGCCAAAACCAAGGGTTTTGCACTGGTAACAAGCTCGAGTAATCAGCAACTTCAATACATGGTTCTAAAATGTGTCTGCAGTGGGGAATATCGAACTGGTCGTACTTCTCGATATGAGCAAATTCGCAAACATCAGCCACATACCCAGCGAACCGACTGTCCTTATCAGCTCAAGCTTGCCAGAGTTCGTAAGGGAGACGCCTTCGCAGATGGATTTCGTCCTGTCCTACTCACAACCATCTGTAATACACACAACCACCCCCCTATCAAGAATTTATTGCTCTCTCACCTTCGCCGAAGTTCCCGAACCCCAGCAATCAATAAACTCTTGGAGCAATACATCGATCAGGGCCTAAAACCTCACCAAATGATTGATTTGCTCAGAGAACATCCCGATAAACCTCTCCTCACTCCTGCAGATGTAAATAACTTCAAGTGGAGGTATGAGAAAAATCGTCAGGAGGGACGTAGTGTGACTGAAAGTCTGTTTTTACTGCTTGAAAGGGGAAAAGAACTCTTCAAGGGACTAGTTAACAGTCATAATGAGACCCTAGGAGTGGTTTACACGACTAAAAAGGCTCGAGCTTTACTACACCGATACTCCACTGTCCTCATGATGGACTGCACGTATAAAACCACTCGTTATAATCGTGCTATGCTTCATATCACTGGCTCAACAGCAACAAACCTCACTTTCACTGCGGCAATTGCTTTTATCGATCGAGAGACTACCGATTGGTATGACATTGCTCTCAAAGCGTTCCTTGATCTCATGGGGCCACTACCTCGTCGAATTCAGGTCGTTATAACCGACAGAGAAATCGCATTAGCCAACGCCCTTCAAAAACACCTCCCCGATGTAAAACAGCAATTCTGCACCTGGCATCTACGAGAAAACATCAAACACACCTGTGATAAAGCAAAATGCTTTACAGACGAAGAAGATCCAGTGAAAGCAAGATCAGAGTTTGGTGAAATGTGGATGAGAGAAGTGGTAAAAGCAAAAGACGAATTCAAACTTCAGCAGGGGATGGATAAAATGCGAGAGAAGTACTGTTTACCTGCTCATAGCCCGGTAATTCGGTACCTGGAACGGCTACTTGATTCGAAGGAGAAATGGGCCCACGCTTTTACCAACAGAAATCGTAATCTTGGACAGCATACTACCTCTCGCAATGAGGGTGAACATCGAGCCTTGAAAGAGTTCCTTGAGACTCATACAGGGACACTTTGGCATACGATCCTTCGAACCCATCGGTTCCTGGACAAGCAATGGGATACGATTACATTAGAAAATGGTCAGCAAAGAGTGCGAACTGCGCTGGGGGACAGAGTACTCAGTGTTATTCGAAGAGATATCTCAAGATTTGCTGCTGGCGAGCTAGAACATCAAATACGACTTGCTAGCAAACTTCTCGCACAAACCCACACTTCTCAGCACTGCTCAGGACGATATTTCGACTCAATGGGGCTACCATGTGCTCACACATTAGTTGATATAATCAAGCAGGACGGTGTACTCACGATAGACAAGATACATCAGCATTGGAGATTGCTACCACACAATGGCTTTGAAAAGCTTCTTGAAGACACGAATAATCGAACTCAAGCAACTGCTTTTTCTTCCACAGGTGTTTATCGACTCGAAGAAGAATTTGAGGACAGGAATTCGTCTGCAGATAGGTTCGTCCTTGATCCTCCTGTAAATCTTGGCCTTCGTGCACGACAAGCAATTCGAGCCTCTGCATCACAGATTCCTTCTTCTCAATCTGCTTCTCTGGCCCCAGGAGTAACTCTAGTTCGGCCTACACCAATCTACACACCTCATAGGCCACCTTCCTCTGTCCCACCACCAGCAAAACGTCCTCGAAATTCAATTCCTTCGAACCTTGGCCCTGCTCGAGCTTCAACTGGTAGAATCCTCTCTCAAGCTGAGCAATCTGCTCCTGTACGTCCTCAACAGCCCAAGTGTGACCTGTGTATCAAGAGACATGCTAGTAGCTACATGTGTGGGGCTAAAAAGGCAATGGCGGCGAGAGAACAAGTACTGCGGGCTAGGATCCAAGCAGAGGTTGAAAATTCCAGGGAAAGGATGATGAATGCAGGCTCTGTGATGACACCAAGGCCTGCTGAGATTGCGAGGACAGGCTCTGAGACAGGGAGGACACTTCCACCGGTACGCATTTCATTGAAATCTGTCCTACCACTTCAACTGGTCATTTTATGAGAGTTCTAGGCTGACGTATGCAGATTATGGCTCAATATCATCCCTATCCCTTCTACCCTTCTCCCCACTTCCTCCCAGGAGCCCCTGGGCCGTCTAATTGGTACCAGAGGCCACCTACGTACCCTCCTGTACCAAATTATTCCAATTTTCCACCTACCTTTTATCCACCCGTGTACCCGCCCCCGTATGTTGAAGAGGGGCTTGGAAATGGCTCAAACTTCGCAGAAAGGACTGTCCTGGACGCCAGGAACGGTGGTATGAGACAGGAATTCCCCCCTCGCAAGTATAGTCCAGGAAAAGAAGATTTCACTGGTGGACAGAGGGGTTGAAGAGGATGTCATGTATCTTGGTGAGTTCTTATCTTTTTGCTATAAACTCTTTATGTGCTGATAGAGACAGGTCGGCTCTTTGATTCCATCTTGTTTATCAAAGAAATGCATTATGAATACATGGAGAAAATAAATTATAGCAAAGATCATCGCTTTGACATGTGTGCAGAGGGGTGGAAGGGTGGTCCGTGCTTTGGTACACGTGGCATTTTTTTCTCACTGATAAGCCAAAATATCACGTGACTTGGTGGCAGTATTGTGCAGGAAGTGAAAAAGTATTGTGCGCAAAGTACTCTTCATTCCGGATCATCAGGCAGGCTGGATCTGATCTGTGATCTCTGATCGATGAAGCCGTTCCACACGCCCATCTTTCTGCTCGACATCGACATCGGCATCGGCATCATCATCGTCGAAACGTCTGTCATCGCTCACGCCCCTCCCTCAGCGAAGATTTCTCAAATAGTAGTCATACAGTAGGCTAGCTAAATGTCCCCTTCGTCTCATCCCTTTTCATCCTTTACGGTGGATCAATCGTGGCAGTGATGGATTACTCGAATATCCTTGATCATATCAAGTCTCTATCATGGTCACAGTCTTCTGAACAAGTGAGTCATGTCATGCCAGCCCTTTCTCCTCGTCAGCGGCGCCTCTTTGCCACTGCTTCGACTGGATCCGGTCATCCTATTGCCATTGCCCCGTCTTACTCTCCTACCCGTTATCGTATCAGGTTTAGGACTCACTGCGTAGTCGATAAGACACATGTGACCCAAGAAGTATACTCACCCGTAGACTCTACTCGAACCTTTTACTTACATCTCTTCATCTCCGGGAAAAGAAATCCGACCCAAGTTTATAGATGCTTTCAACCTCTGGCTCAAGGTTGACGAAGGGGATTTGGACGTCATCAGGAAGGTTGTCAACATGCTGCACAATGCTAGTTTACTGTGGGTCTCTTCGCTTATACCAGTCCTCTCTCCTGATCAAGTCTATCTGTCCTCCCGAGACCACGATCCACGTCTATCAGGCTTCTTGAGATTTGAGAGACGTGACGTATGCCCGTCCATTCCGATACTTAAATGCTGGACATCTCGTCCCTCTCATCTCCTGCCCACCTCAAATACTCCGCGGGTATCTCGCCTCGATCTTGAACACTCTTGTCCTTCTGTCAAGAGCGAGGGAGATGTTACTGATGAACAGGATGGATGACGTGGAAGACAACTCCGAACTTCGTCGTGGACTTCCAGTCGCTCATACCATCTACGGGGTGCCCCAGACGATCAATAGTGCCAATTATGTCTACTTTCTCGCCATGCAAGAATTGTTGAGGTTGCAATCAGGCTCGGAAAAGAAGGGGAAGGGGGTGGATTTGATGGGTGTCGTCACGGGTGAGTCTTTAATGTTTGGACTTCGTGATTACGATACTTTGATCAAGGCGGGCAGAATTTCCAAGTAGTACAAAAATACTCGATGCTAGGATAATACAGAGGTAGCCATCCGAGGCTAGATAGGATCAGAGGAGCATACGACGTGAAGAGCTGAGCAGATCGACTTGGGGTAGAGGATGATAGTTATGCAATCGAAAAATTAACGACCAGAGGAGTTGCTCAATCTACACCGTGGACAAGGCCTCGATTTGTACTGGAGAGACAGCTTGACTTGTCCTAGCGAAGAGGAATACGTGCAGATGGTTCTGGGCAGTGAGTGGTTCAACCTCCCGTCCTCCTTGTCTCGCACCGTTTGACTGAAGAGAATATCGGCTTTGGCTCTCTAACAACGACCATCAGCTGAATGAACAGAGACAGGAGGCTTGTTCCGACTAGCAGTCAAACTCATGATGGCTAAGTCGGATTGCGATGTGTCAGTTCACGCAGATTCATCCTCCTTTACACCGTGCCCTCCTTCCTTCTTCCGAGTTACCTACCAAGACGGCAGTGTCGGGGTGTGACGGCGCAGTCACTGACTGACAGCGATTTCGTCCCTCTGGTCAACCTGATCTCCGTGTTTTTCCAGATCAGAGATGACTACATGAACCTACAATCCAGAGAAGTGAGCTTAAAGTTTCCCTCGATATTAGGCTTCGATACCGAGAAAGAAGAGGGACGTCGACGTCGTTGACGAGCAGTATGAAGACAACAAGGGTTTCGCGGAAGATCTGACAGAGGGGAAATTCTCTTTCCCCGTCGTCCATGGTGTTCGGGCAGATCAGTCGAATCGGCAAGTACTGAGTGAGTTTACTCAACCTGTCACGTAAGATCATCGCGTATCATCCCGCTCTTCGTCGTCTTTACCAGATATTCAGCACCCCTGGACCATGCTGACATGCAGACGTACTTCAGAAACGCACCACGTCATACTCTCTCAAAGCTCACACGGTCGACTTTCTACGCAAACATACTAAATCGTTCATCTACACACGCGAGGTATTGGAGAAGCTGTTGAAGCAGATCCACGCCGAGTTGGCTCGCCTAGGTGGGAACCGAGCCCTCGAAGGGATTCTCAACGCTTTGGGACTTCCCGACGAGAACTGATAGCGATTCAGAGTAGAACACTCGTGAAGAACTGATGCTATCATCCCCTCCCATCTTATCTGTATGTACGTTTCATGCGAGACATCATATAACTTAGTCTCCTTTGGCTTTACACGACGGCTGTATGCATCTTTATATCTGATAAATCGGTCAGAAGCGAGAGCAACGACGAGATCCGACGTCATGATTAGATGCAGCGTGCGTTGGATGGGAGGAGACCCCTCGTCAGCGTCATTCACAACCCCCCGTCAAAGTACAAACTCGGTCAAGTCCGATCTTCCCGAACAACCCGAAGCTTATCGTTTCCTCCTTTTTCCCAGACTTTTTTCCCTTTTCCTCACCCTCTCCATGCTTCTAGTACTTAAACCCATCGTACATCGTTCCTCCTACTCTAACATCGTGTCATCTTTCAAACAATCAAAAAGAAACAATATGACCGCTCAACTGTACCCTACTTTAGCTATAACCGTCACCATCTCTCAAGCATCTTTGGCAAAGCTCAAGGAACAGTTCACAACAGTACATTACTATCCTATCGAGGGGGATAAACTTTTCCCAGAACATTTGGCTTCAGAGGTGGATGTTTGGTATTCTAGGTTCTCTGGATTGCCAAAGTTTATCACCAAGTATGAGCAGATTCCTAGGACCAAGTTTGTCCAATTAACGAGCGGTGAGTTTCACTTCCTGTACATCCATCCTTTTCTTTTGATCGTTCCTTCCCCACTACCACTCTCCTCATTCTTCTCGGTTGCACTTGAGCTTCCACGCGGCGCTTCTTGACAGTTGTCGTCTGACTTCAAAGAGGAAGGGAAAGGAGGGGGGAGAACTCCACTGATTCATCTAGCCGGCGCCAATGTCGTCCTCAAAACACCTCTCTTCCAAGACCCAGAGGCGCAGAAACATGTTTCCATCTGCAACGCATCAGGTATCCACGTAAAGTCTATTCCTCAGCAAGTCATCGCCATGATCATCAACTGTGAGTCCCAGTCGTCTCCAAGCCTTGTCCTCGGCTCCCCGCAACAATGCCTCGACTCTGACGCGCCATGCAGGCGAACCCGTGTCCCCGAAACCTTCGCGCTCGACTACGGATTGAAAGATGAGAGGGCAGATAACCCGGAGATTTTTGCTTACAAACAGTGTATATGAGTCTTCATATACAGACTTATCTCACCCGCGTGAGCTTGAAATGAGCATCATCACCCTCAGATACTGATAAACAGAGCAAGGCTGCGTGGCCAAGCAGACAGGAGATTGCAGATGCCGCTGGGAAACATATCGAGAGTGGGAGCAACATCGGTTCTGAGAGCTTGATCGGTAAGAGGGCCGGGATGTTGGTCAGTCAGATCCCTTCCTCGGCTTGACAAGTCCCTCGCCTTGTCACAATTTGCTTGTACTTGCAACCAGACATTCAATGTTCAACCTTGCTGAACTCTGAGCTGGGTATGTCGATGGGGCTACAGGTGTATGACCTCGTAATTACATGCACGCTAATCTACAGGGCTACGGTCACATCGCTCGTGAAACCGCCCGGGTGCTCAAAGCCATGAACGTAAACATCATCGCTGCCAACTCTTCTGGCACCAGGAGGATCGACGATGGGTATATCATCCCTGGCACGGGTGACAAAGATGGTGAGTCACCGGAGACACGTGCACAAAGAGCAGAATGCTGACCAACAGGCATTGTACCGTCTGCTTACTATTCTACCACCGACCCCGAGTCGTTCAGAGAGTTCTTGAGCAAGTGCGACATTTTGGTCGCGTCTCTGCCCTCGACGGCCGAAACGCACTACATTCTGACGGCCGACTTGCTCAGTAAGTATCAACTTCCTCTCTCCCAACATCCGAATTTGCCCCATACTCAATCACCTATCCCTCACGCCCAATGCTGCAAGAGCAATAGGCAACATCATCCAACTCAAAATCTCAGTGTTCGGGTCGTGAGATTATCATGCGACTCTGGCTCACATTAGAACAACTACCTGACGGCGCGGTCCTCGTCAATGTCGGACGTGGTGATCTCGCCCGCTCCGAAGACCTCCTCGCCGCTCTCGATGCCCCCGGCGGCCTCTCCGGCGTCGCTTTGGACGTAACGGACCCCGAACCTCTCACTGCCGGTCACCCTTTGTACACGCACCCGAAAGCTATCATCACCCCTCATTCCAGTGGTGACTTTGTCGGATACTTTGAATCCATTACCGATCTCTTGGTGGCCAACATCAAGCAGGTGAGGAGGACCGGTAAGCTGATGAACGTCGTCGACCCCGTCAAGGGATACTAAATCCCTGGTCGAAAGGCACACGGCAGAACGGGAAGAAGGAGGAGAGATTCTGGCGGTGCTTCCCAAATGTTAAATATGTCGTCGAATATCTCGTAGAAACTAGAAAGGGGTTTTATTCATTGAAATGCATACAGTGATGTCTTCCAAAAAGAAAATGCTCCTTCACGATATCATCCTCTTCTCTCGTCCACCAGCTCAGGACCCTTCATCCTCCGTCAATTCTCTTGCTTTACGGGCTTGTTCGAAAAGTTCGTCAAATTCTGATCCCTCACCCCAGCCCATCTCTCTAGCCCATTCTTCCTCTTCGCTGCTTTCCTCTACATCGCTTTCAGGCGGCAGCTGACGTGGTCCCATGTTGGATGAAAGGGAGAGGACAGTAGTACCGAGAGAAGTAGAGGGAGGCACAAGCGAAGTTTCTCGTCGGCTGTCTCTCGGGGCTTTTTCTGTGCCATGGAAGACGATTGCTCGTGGATGGGTTTCCCCTGATAGCGTGATTGCTGTGGTGATGGGGGGGGACCGTTTCTGAAGGTTCGGACGAGCTGAAGGCTTTGGCGTGGAAGCTGCAGCAGGGACAGAGGGAGGAGGACGTTCATGAATCGTCAAAGAATCGATATCTAGTAATACATTCTGACCTCTTTCCTCCCTCGTCGTAGTTGCCTTGCCTGGTTTCGTTACATGAGCGTTCTCAGACGACTTCGGTCTTAACACTGCCATACGTGCACTAGTTGTGGTCGAGCGAACTCTATCTCTAGCCATGTCCACTCCGTTTTGTAAGACGTTCGAGGTCGAAGCATCGCGGATTTCTCTCATGAGAGATGATGAGTTTGGCGGTCTTGCAGACTGGGAACTCGTGATGTTTGATAATGAAGAGGAAGGAGCAGAAGTAAGGGAAGCCGATAAATCCTCCAGTAACCCCACACGAACGATCTTCGATCTTAACCAAACCCCTTCCTCACTCAGATTGCCAAGAACAAAATCACTCCTTCTCCTGCATATCAAACTACACCAACCGTCCTCTGGATTACCTTCCACAGGTCGAACATCTCGACTCCGACGGGAGATGGCAAACTTCCGTTGAGGGTTCCAAGGACGGGCAGGGGTGTTAGGACATGGAGGGTATGCACACAAAGAGTTTAGGTGACGTTCGTGGGTTATTTCGATGTATTGAGAGGGGACCAGGTAGCAGAGCTGCGGGCGTCAGCTAGACAGGAGTAACACCGAGATCTCGTTCAACCAGCGGAAACACATCCACTGATTTCTGCGTAGCTGTGATCGGTATGTAGTAACAAAGATGGACATCGCTGGTCAGTAGTCACATGGTTAGGGCTGAAACGGACACACAAAAAGGGATCGGAAGATCGAGGAATGGCATCGGAGAAGTGAGACCACAGACGGGACAGGGAGTGAGCGATGATCTCGAGATATGAGGGCCACCTCGAGGTCGAGTAAACTACCCACTCACAGCATTACGAAAAGCCCCCAGAGATACAGTCTCCTCCATCAACTTATCAGCCCATCTCTCACTCCTCCTTCGCAGATCGATCTGTCGTTTCTCAGCCACACGCAGAGCCGCCGTATCGTCCAAAACATCAGTACGCAATGTTCCACCTGCATCTCGAGACGCTACGTGTATCTTGACAGGGCGATTGAATGAGGCGGTGGATATGGAGCCGTCAGGATTGGACGGACGTGGTCGCACAGTCATGGAAGGGTGTGAAACTAAGTTATCGACTTCTAATGCGAGCGTCCAGGTTTTCCGGAAAGTGACAGGTGGGGCTAGTACGCCGGTAGCTCTTGTGAAGTTGGGAATACCCAGGAGGGAGAAGGGGAGTGAGTTGCGTGGAAGGATGTTTTGATATACGTAAGTTATAGGAGGAGAGCAAATTCTGTGAGATCAGAGCATATTCACAATCACGTCTCAATCGCCAGTTTTGTCACCACCTCCACTCACTACACTCTTAAGAACAGATTTCACAATACTCAATACTGAAGATTGAAAAGGGTTGTTGAAAGGCAGACATGATGAAGCTACCACATACCTTGAAATTCAGTGAAAAGAGAGAAGGGGAAGTGTCAGGATCAGGTAGCAAGTCCGCAATCCAAAACATCATAAAAGGCTCAATATCAACTCTACTTGTACATAGAAGAGTTGATCTTGCTTCAAGTACCAATCATGACAGCAAGCAAGTGAACAGGTAAGAAAGTGAACACGTAGCCTAAGAAAGTCAAACTCAATTGGACTCTAAGCCAAGAATCTCACAGATCACAGAGACCTCCCCTACTCCTCAGATTTTCTGTGGGGTGCTCATAATGTTTTACAGCTCACTGCTGGATAGTCCCGTTTAAACACTATGCATCATCTTTTACCGTTCTACTTGTATGCGGAGATGAGCTCCTTGATAGTGGTGTAGCATGTAGCATAGGCATGCAGAAGGGAGCAGAGTTCTGCTTTCAATGAGGCTTGCAACTCTGCTGGCAGACGGTAATGGACCAATCAACTGCCGGGAATCTCTATCCACGGTTGCTGGCAAATTGATTCCGCATTTATCCCCAGAACATTTGCGTGCCAGACGCACACAAAAAGTATGGCCAGGCGATCCGATGAAGAGGTGTCTTTGAGTAACCAGTACCGGGTGTCAATTCTAGTTGACAATGATGTTGACCTCCGTGGGAAACTCCGAAAGTTACCTGTTTTGAGTGGAATGTAGTTGTTTACTATCTTGAAGGCACTCTTGAGGCTTCTTGGACTCAGCAAACTTCTCACAGAGACCTCACACAGTACCGTAAGTTGTGCAATCCTATAGGTCTAGTCTTGAGCATCACATACATTCCAAAAACATGTGGAAACACTCAATTTCCCCCTGTCACGAGGACCAACTAACCAGCATTGGCTCGATATAACGGTGCCCAACGTGACAGTGTTGTTCACCACTGTGACGAAAAGGCCTATTAATCGGCGGTTAACCCTACCGCCGATCGCTGGTTAAATACCCTTCCCGACTTTCGCTCAACTTGTCACACGCTTTGTGACACCCCCCTCCCAGGTGCCCACTACCCCCCTCTCCCGTCTATCTTCAGGCCTTGCTATCAGACTCACTGGAGCAGGCATCAGGACTTCCCCTGATGCCAGTCCCTTGCCAGCCCCTACCTCAAAGTCAAATGACCATCCGCAAATTCAGAAGAAGAAGGTAAAGAAGGGAGTTAAGTGGGATGATGACCTAAACACACAACATTACACATTGCCTGATCTTCTCATACAAGGGCTCAAAATTCCTCACCATGTTGACCGCTGGTGTAGTGAATACCAAGGAGGGAAGAGCAAGGACACCATGAGAGAGTGTTCACAATGGCTGAGGGACAATGGATGTCTGACACAGTGAGATATCATTGCCTGCAAGAACAAGGAAAGTAATCTTTGTTCCCTCTTCTACCTGTTCAAAGTCTGCTATGAAACTGATGTATATAGATTTGTGCACTCTACACAGAATGGCAAGAAGCATATTCATACTGTTGGAATGACCACTGCACCAAAAGTGGGAATCCACACTCTGGTGGAGCACATTGCAGTAATGTCTGACACATACATGAACAAGACTGGTAGTGAACAAGACTGGTAATGGTCAAGGGGGAGAGAAAATCATAATGGCTGAACACAGTGGACTGGCGGAAGAATGTGATAAGGCAGTAGCTGCAGTTGATCGTGAGTGTCTTGAGCAAGATTGTAGGGTGAGCCAAGTGTGCTGACACTATCTTAGGTACTTGTCACAAACTATATCGCAACAACCCCTGACAACCACCATCATCAACCCTCCTTTCTGTCAGGAATGGTGCAATCAGTAATTGCCACATTGTAGCGCTATTGCTATTTCCGTGTGTTCCCTCGTCTCATATCCATCTCTGTCAATATTGTAGTTTCTCTTTATGCATTCTATTTCTACATCTGACAGGTTATGAGCCTAAAATATTGCTCTCAAGACAACATCTGAATGCTCTTGACACCCCTTGAGGTCCCTCCAGCATTAGAATCAGTAGCACTGTCAGTAGAATCATCAACCCACTTGGGTTTTGCTTTTCACTTCAAATCACAATTTTTGAGCTAATTCCACCAATACTGCGCCAATTCTCAGTAGCTCTTCAGATCTAAACAGAGCGTCACTGTCACAAAGCGTGTGACAAGTCAAGCGAAAGTCGGGGAAGGGTATCTAACCAGTGATCGGCGGTAGGGTTAACCGCCGATTAATAGGCCTTTTCGTCGCGGTGGTTAACATCACTGTTCCGTTGGGCACTGTTATATCGAGCCAATGCTGGTTAGTTGGTCCTCGTGACAGTCACTGCTTCCACTGTTACCAAAAAGGACAGACAGACAACATTGACAAATAGCGAGATATAGCAAAAGTAAAATATTGAACTCCAATTGCTTTTCGACCAGCAACATTGCTCTCACCACACAACTCAGTCAATTCCAAGTGAAATACATCACTCTCTAAATCATTAGAAAGGGGACAGGAGGAGATACGTAGAACAGGTGTCATACATCACCTACTTGCCACCTAAGAGGGATCGTCTGCAGTAGCTACAGCAGTGAGAAAAGCGCTAGCATCGGAAAGATAGGCAATATCGGCTGTCGTTTTTGATTCCTCTGTTGCTTTTGGTTCTTTTAAAGCAACATTTGCGCTTTTTGAAATTTTCCCTCGGTTTTTGAAAAAGTTTTCGGTGGAAGGACTGGTCCTCTGATGAATAGAGCAGTATTTGGAATGATCTGCAGGTGGAAAGCGATCAAACTGTTTGTTAGGGTTGTTGAAAGTGGATTTAGAGCGAAAATTCGATTTTGCAAACATTCCAGTTGCGCTTTCTCCCTCAGTTTTCATCCAACCCCATTCTGCTTGAACTCCAGCCTGTACTTTGCTTCTTGATAGCGAGTCTCTAATCCAAAGCTGTCAGATGTAGAAGTAGAATGTGTCAGATGTAGAAGTAGAATGCATAAAGAGTACAATATTGACAGAGGTTAGATATGAGACGAGGGAATATGTGGAAATAGCGATAGCGCTACAATATGGCAGTTACCGATTGCACCATTTCCGACACCCCCACTCAAGCGGATCTGCCACATACCCCTAATAACTCCCTCAGTCTATCAAATGTATCTGAAGGAAGAGCCTTTGTCAATAAATCAGCCATATTCTCTGCTGAGGGAATATGTGACAGGGAGACAGTGTTGTCTTCAACTTCTCCCGAATATAGTGATGTTGCAGGTCGATATGTTTTGTCTTGTTATGATGAACCGGATTCTTGGCAAGAGCTATAGTTCCCGCATTATCATTGAGAAGTTTCAAAGGTTCTTGACCAAGCCCAAGTCCCAAATCATCCAAAAGTTGTCTTAACCATACAGCTTGGCGTGTAGCATCTGATGCTGCCATGTATTCCGCTTCTGTTGTTGAAAGCACAACTGTAGGCTGTCTCCTACTTTTCCAAGCAGCAACTCTACCATGAACTTTAAAGACATATCCAGTGGTTGATCTTCTAGTGTCCAAATCTCCTCCCCGAACTGCATCTGCGTAACCTAAAGCAATGCGGTTGCTATTCTCTTTGTTGAAGGTGAGACAAAGATCAGAAGTACCACGGATATAAACAAGTAGGTGTTTGACCGCTTTCCAATGTCAGTCATTCCATTTACTGAGAAATCTAGATAAGAGACTTGCTAAAAAGGCAAGGTCAGGTCAAGTTATGGTTGAAGCATAAAGAATAGCCCCCACTGCTTGGTAGTGTTTTGCTTCAACATGTTCTTGATCTGTTGCAGGGATTGGACGAAATCCAGAAGGTAGAGGAGTTTTTGCAGGATTGCAATCTTTCAAGTCAAATCGTTCAAGAAGTGATTCAAAGTAATGGTGTTGTAATTGCGCAAAAGCGTCTGATTTGTGTTTGAGAAAGTAAAGATGTACTTTTCGGGTGAAGTCATCATAGCAAGACAGGAAGTAAACTGCTCCACTGAGAGAAGGGGTTCTGGCTAGTCCCCACAGATCAAGATGTATGACTTGCAGTGGTTCAGTAGCACGAATTTCGCTTGGAATTGACAGTAATCTCCTCCCTTTCCCAACAACACAACTTCTGCACTGAAAATCTTTTGCATGACTATTTTCAAATTTACATCCTAACCGTCCTGACTTTGATAAATTGATTAAAGCGCCAACATTAAGGTGTCCAAGGCGCTCGTGCCAGTCTAGGAGTAGGTCAGTTGTGTTTGCAACATTTGCAGAAGGAGAACTTGCTTGTTGTAGTAGAAAAAAAACGATTTTATTTTTGCGCAGAGAGAAGAACTTGGTGATTCTTGCAGAAAGTCACAATTCCCTTTCTGAATCGCCATTCCAAATCTCCCCCATCTTCCGATGCGCCTACAGACAGCAGATTTCGATCCAAACCAGGAACTAAAAGCATGTTTGGAAACTCTACACTGTTTATGACTAGTGTCCCAGCTTGTGTACAAGGTAGAATAGCAGAATTCCCAAATTTTACGCCAGTTGGAGGGATTAACTTAATTGATGAAAGCGAATTTTTGTCATTACACATGTGATGAGAAACGCCTGAATCCACCACAAAAATCGAGTTTGAATTGGCAGCTAAAGCAATGGGGTCATTTGCAGTAGCAACTGCAGTTAGAAAAGCGCTAGCGTCAGAAAGATAAGCGATAGAGCTGTCGCTTTGGAGGTA